CCTGCTATCCATGTAGTTGTCAGCACAAGTCGGGTTTACTAGTAAATGCCGATGTTTCCATTTATATTTTAAGATCTGTGCAAGAACTCAGCTAACAGATCTTTCCGCATATAAAAGCTATCTTCAAGTTTTGTTCACCAAAAAAACTTTTCAACTATTCTTTATCTTACTGTTTTCACATTTCATTTGCATAATCTCTAGAACCTCATAAATGAATATCAAAAGTTTTTTAAGGTCAATGTTTATATTTTATTTTCCATTTTTTCTACTATATCAATAATGTATCATCAATATACAGTGCAATGAAATGTTTAAAACTAACAAGTGGAAATATGTACATACCTTTCCACTTAACGTGAATATATTCATGACCTATATCTCCAGAATGTAACTTCAACATACCTTTCCACTTAACGTGAATATATTCATGACCTATATCTCCAGAATGTAACTTCAACATACCTTTCCACTTAACGTGAATATATTCATGACCTATATCTCCAGAATGTAACTTCAACATACCTTTCCACTTAACGTGAATATATTCATGACCTATATCTCCAGAATGTAACTTCAACATACCTTTCCACTTAACGTGAATATATTCATGACCTATATCTCCAGAATGTAACTTCAACATACCTTTCCACTTAACGTGAATATATTCATGACCTATATCTCCAGAATGTAACTTTATTAGCTTAATATTGTGCTATTACAGCTTCGTCAAGAGCTTTTGATATCCTACAAGTTCACTAACCCATTTAGAATTAACAAGGTTTAATCTCAGTCTGGAGAACTTGAGGATAAGCAAGATATAAAATCTTTATTGAAAACAAAATTTTGTTATCCTGTAAAGGGCAACATTGTAGTTACAGAGAAACTATGCAATTGAGAGTTTTGAATGTGGGGATGTAAGTTTTCATGAGATAGATTCTAACAATGCTGTTTATTTTATGCTTTAGGAAAGGCTTAATATTTTCAGTTTAAAGATAGTGCTTGAAGAGCACTCAAGAGTTTTGCAGTTCTAATTTATAGAATTCTGATGAGATTGCTTTTTAAACTTTCAAATTGAAACCAAACAAAGTATGTTTGTGATAACAATATAAGGTTAGTGATTTGAACAAATTAACCAATTATGATCAATATGTAAATTTCTACTTTTGTAGCAACTTCTGGCAGATACTGCTCTCAAAGAAAAATTAAGAAAACTTGAAATAGAAGAGGAAGAAAGAAGAGAGCGTGATGAAAAGGAAAATAAAGAAAGAAAAGCTCTCGAGAGAGCTCAAAGAGCAGAGGAACGGATGAAAGCTATTGAAGGTACTCATAAGAATTATATATTGTCAAGCACTATCAAAACACATTTCAAATTCCTTTAGTACTCAAGCTTTGTGACTATAAGAATCCATGTTGATTGAAATTTATAATTACATGAAAGTTGCTCTAAGTTGTGCTGGATTGGTGGAGTTAATCGTAGGAAAAGTCTTCTCTATTGAGCACGTTTGAAGAGGCTCTGATAATTTTACCTCATTCATTGTTCTGTTGGTATTTTTATTTTGTCAAGAATTATGGAATTAATATCCATGGGTGTAAAATTAGCAGATGAGAAACATTACAGGAATTTTTTTCTTACTTTTAAGATCGAAGAAGGAGAGTAGAACAAAGGAAACTTGCTTCTAAGTTACAGCATGATTATAAAGAAAAGAAGTACTTCTGTGAAAATGTGTATAAAACTGGACATAATCAGAACCCTAAAGTTCTTGATTATCTTCGTGTAAAATCTACTAATGCAATTTTGAAGTAAGTACAAAAGATTTTTATCTTTGGCTTTGATGTTGAATATTAACTTTCTGGAGTATGACGTTTGTGTAAAAAAATTTATGAGAAATGTCCAGATGGTTAACTTAACATCAACAAATTGTGTTGTAAAATAACTACCTTATATTAATGACTTTTGTAATAGATCTGCTAAATTATTTCTCAGGTTATTAAAACTTATGTACGAATAACACTTTCTGTTGGATGTAACTGACATACATCCATCATTGATGTGTAAGTGAACATGTCAATGATGGATGTATGTCAGTTATATCCAACAGAAAGTGTTATTGGTACATAAGTTTTAATATGTGTAAGTGAACATGATAAATCTTCTACTGATTTCTAAAATAAGAAAAATATCTACTATTAGCATTCTCATATTTATACATCAGATTTTTATTTATGTACCAATTTTACTTGAATATGGTACTTAAATAACTAGAAGATATACTGACGTTGTGCATTTTGTACTAAGTAGTTATAATTATCATTTTAAAGTATACACTAAATCAGCATTTTTCAAGCTTGGGTTTCAAGAATGTTGTACGGAAGTTATGAGAAAAATAATATGACAACGAATATCTTAGACTATGTACAATAATTTGCTATCACTGTGTGTGGCCCTCCAGTGGCACAGTGGTATGTCTGCGGACTTACAACAGTAGAATCCAGGTTTTGATACCTGTGGTGGGCAGAGCACAGATAGCCCATTGTGTAGCTTTGTACTTAATTACAAACACTGTTTGTGTGACAGAGTTGTTACAGACTGAAGTAGTTTTTCTTGGGGGGAGGCTCAGCAAAAAAACATGTTTGACAATCTCTGCACTAAATAAATACTAGTGGCATTCTGATGTAAATGCTATGGCTGTACTAATAACATTTTAATATATATTGAAGAAATTTATTGCAGTAAGTATAATTTGTTTGGCAGTGATAGTCTAATGACATTTGGAAGTATTTAAGATAGATCAACCAATTATATTTTGAATTGTAAGATAGATCAACCAATTATATTTTGAATTGTACAATTGAGTATTAAAGGAATGAGAATCCTTCTTGGTGATTAACTCTTCCTTCATGGGATTGGTCGAATGGACTGACCATGTGACCACTTTGTATTCATTATAGTTTTGATACTATTAACTTTTAATATAGTATGTATATCTTTACAAAATTTGGCAGACTTTCAGTAAACATTATAAATCTTTCACGTACAAAAAATATGATTTTTAGTGAAGTATTTTTAATAAATTAAAAAATGATTTGTCCATGAATATATTGAGTCTTTTCTTCTTCTTTTTTTTGACTAGTCTGAGTGCAAAGTGATTTTCAGGTTAAGATTAAAATTAGTTTTCTTCATCTCAAAAATCTTAAATTTCATTTGCATAATCTCTAAAACCTCCTAAATACATTTCCAACGATTTTTTCCAGTAAAACTATATATTTTACCTGTTATTTTCTCTACCCTAATTCTATACCACCAAAAAAAATCGAAATAATCTAAATTATCCTCTTTTGTTCTGGAATGACTTCAAATTGTAACATGAAACTGTATTTTTTTTATCCTAAGTAGCTTTAAACTAGTAACATCATACATCTATACTTAAATTTTATTGTTTTTTTGCCCTATCTAACTACTATCTGCACCATTATAAGTTGTAAACGAATTACATTACCCACAAGCTATTCCAAGCTGCTCACATGCATGCCTCATAAAACATTTATATTATTATTTATTTTACCTAATCTAACTTAATTAACAGAAAGAGTTTCCTATTTTTACATTTGAGTTACTTTTATAATAATAAATAAAGAATACACATGAAAAACAAGAAATAAAGTACTTATCTGGGCTTTTTTTTTCTATTGACTATTGATGACACTTAACCCTACTTTTTTTATACTAATGGTAATCATGCACTAAATGATTTTTATTTGATTAAATTATGCTCCAAAGAACATAGAATAACAAAATGAAAAAGCAGACAATGTCCCATAACTATCACAATGTTTCTGGCTTTCTAAATATGCAATACAATCCATTATAAATTCATCCAAGCTAGTCGATATGTTTCCTATGGGAACGAAGCTTTTACTGAAAGAGAAATTGACGATTCTATAGATAGGAAACAATATAATATAATATATCATTTGATAGATGAAAACCTTGGCTTTCTATTGGTTATAAATAATATAGAATTAAATGTAAGAGAGAACTATTAACAAATCCTGAAAGAGAGGATGTGACAGGTGGGTGTGGCAACAGAGGTCTGGTTTTATATTTGGTAGCTCTGTAATCAAACAAAATTGAAGACTATAAAAATTATGGTTTGTCTGAAATGCTAAAGAAATAACCACATATCACACATGAAGTCAACATCATCAATTTATCTAATACAACACTCAAAGGAGCTCAAACTGTATGCTTAAGCCAAGGGCTTAACTTTTGCATAACCCTCTATAAGTTACCTTCCATCGACATACAAAGAAACTCTGAAGATCTAATAGAAAACTAGTTCTGAAATATAATCATATGAAAGAAAAGCTGAACTATCAATCTTGCAAACTGAAGCCTAAATGAAAACTCAAACCCTAGCAAAATGAAACAGTGAAGAACCCGAATTCAAAGTCTATAACAAATTAAAATCTTATACTAACCAAACAGATTCCCATAAAGAAATTTTTACCAAATCACAAAACGTTTTAACCAAACATACCAAAATTAAAACAAACTTAAAAAAGAATGGAGAGAATTAATAAACTTACAAAAACTTAGAAAAAATGAAAACAAAGCACATTTTGATTTTTTCTATTGAACATTTAAGTGTTTTTGTTATGTTATACTTTGTTTGTGTTAATAGTTTTCTACGAAAATGACCCCCCAAAAATTTAAAGTACAGAATCTTACCAAGTAATCTATGCTTTAAAACTCTTTTCATCAACTGTGAGCAAGGCCTGTGTTTTAATGAATGTTGGTATTAAATCTCATTTCTTGCTCTGTCTGAGGACTATTTTTAGTTTTTTAAGACCGTTTATTGTGGCTACTCACAATTGATCTTTCTTTTTTCTGTTTATATTTACAGACAGTGTTTAAATTTACAGTTACAGTGCTTATATTTACAGTTAGTGTTTACATTTACTGTTACAGTGCTTATAGTTAGTGTTTACATTTACAACTACAGTCTTTACATTTACTGTTTATATTTACTGTTACAGTGTTTACATTTATAGTTGCAGTGTTTAAATTTATAGTTGCAGTGTTTATATTTACAGTTGCAGTGTTTATATTTACAGTTGCAGTGTTTATATTTATAGTTGCAGTGTTTATATTTATAGTTGCAGTGTTTACATTTATAGTTAGTGTTTACACTTATAGTTAGTGTTTATATTTACTGTTGGTGTTTACATTTATAGTTAGTGTTTACATTTATAGTTAGTGTTTACATTTATAGTTACAGTGTTTACATTTACTGTTACAGTGTTTATATTTACTGTTACAGTGTTTATATTTACTGTTACAGTGTTTACATTTATAGTTACAGTGTTTACATTTATAGTTACAGTGTTTATATTTATATTTACAGTGTTTCCAAAAAAAAAGAAGATATCTACTCATCTTTTTCACTAGGTAAGTTATGTGTTTGATTGGAATTAAAATATTTTAAACTACTATATATTAAGAACATCTTACTGTCAGGTTTTATGTAATAATAAGGGCTGTCTCTAACATTCATATTCTAGTATTAATATGTAAGGGCTGTCTCTAACATTCATATTCTAGTATTAATATTAAGGGCTGTCTCTAACATTCATATTCTAGTATTAATATTAAGGGCTGTCTCTAACATTCATATTCTAGTATTAACATTAAGGGCTGTCTCTAACATTCATATT